TGAATAGGACACAGACATGACACAAGGGTGGGACACACGGGTGGGACATGGACAGGACACATGAGTGGGACATGGACAGAACATGCAGGTGGGACATGGACGGAACACGCAGGTGGGACATGGATGGGACACATGGGTGGGACATGGATGGGACACACGAGTGGGACATGGACAGGACACACGAGTGGGACATGGATGGGACACATGGGTGGGACATGGATGGGACACACGGGTAGGACATGGACAGGACACGTGGATGGGACATGGACAGAACACGCAGGTGGGACATGGATGGGACACATGGGTGGGACATGGATGGGACACACGAGTGGGACATGGACAGGACACGTGGATGGGGTTGCTGTAGTTCGGGTGTGTGATTCCTCCACGGGACACAGGGACGGGTGGGTGGCACTGGGGGCTGTGACAAGCAAGCCCAGCCCCATGTCCCCTCTGCGTGTCCCAGGCCCTCTGTGCCAGCACTTAGCGCTCGCCCTTCCCCATCCCAGCTCCCGCTATCTAATCCCATCCTAAATGTGTCCCCACACAGGGACAGCCACCGGTGCCGTGTCCCCATCCCGCGAGCTGAGCCGGAGCTGGGCCGCTCGCCAGGCTGGGGGGACAGGAGGGGACACAGGGGACGGGGGGACATCCTGGTGCTGTTCCCAGCACAGAACCGGGATCAAGGGCTGAGCAAACCCCACACCAGTGACACCGGCCCGGCCACATGGGAGCCCTGGCAGCGGTGCTGGGGCGATGCACCCCCAGCCCAGCCCCACGTTGGAGGGGGTGGGGGGTCCACAGAGCCCCCCCCGGCCCAGCCTGGCCCCCTGAGCCCGGGGGACTCTGAGGACAGCGCGGAGTCAGCGGAGTTAAGGGCAATAATTCTGCCATAAGCAGCTTTCAGCCGCTCCGGCCCATGTGCTCCCGTGAGCTTAGGCTGGACGCCGCTGTCCGGCACTGCCACCACGGCCACAGTGTCCCCACCGTGGCCACAGTGTCCCCACAGTGTCCCCACAGTGTCTCCACCATGTCCCCATTGTCCCCATGCCAGCCCCCACACAGGACTGGGCACCCCAAACTGGCTGCACCCCAAGCACGCTCCTCACCCACGGCCCCCTGTGCCATCACCTGGGGGACACGGGTGTCCCCAAAACACCACCACGAGGCACAGCGTGCACCATGTGCAGCTCCAGAGTTTTGCAGTGACCCCACACCCTGTGGTGAGTCCCTTTCCCAATTCTGGTCACCTCTGGGCAGGGCACAGCTGGATTGTCAGCGGTGCCCAGTGTCACCACCCCGGTGTCACCACCCCGGTGCCACCACCCTGGTGCCTTATCCCCCAGGGGGGATGGTGACACTGTGGCATCCCAAAGGAACTTTTGGGGACCCTGGAGCTGCTGGTTGAGACGCTGGCCCCCGTTGTGCCCGGGGGCGCTCCCAGCCATGTGCCACCCGCCCGGAAATGGGGACGGTGACACTGCTTCCAACCAGGATTTAAATGCCACCAAGGTTAGGAGCAGCTGAGAAGAGATTTCCAGGATTGGATTTTTGGATGGAGATGCCTCAATTCCGGCTAAGCTACACTTTAAGCATCAACATCCCGGGTCGGCCCCCGGGCACTGACACAGTTGTCACCCTCCACGTGGCATCAGGGCGCTGGCATCTGGGTGACAGCTCTGGGGTGCTCTGTGGGGCTGAAATGAGGCTGCTCTCAGTCCCTGAAGGACCCCAGAGCCAGAATCACCCCAGAGCTGGGATCCCATGGGACTCCAGAAACAGCACCCTGAGGCACCCCAGAGCCAGGACCCTGAGACACCCCAGAACTGGGACACCAAGGGATCCCAGAACTACAACCCTGAGAGACCCCAGATGTGTGATCCTGGAACCACGACCCTGAGGGACCCCTGAGCCAGGACGCAGAGCTGGGACCCCAAAGCCAGGATCCAGAGCCAGGAGCCAAGAGCTGGGAACTCAAGGTACCCCAGAATCCAGAGCCAGGATCCCAAACAACCCCAGAACCTGAATGACCCCAAAACCAGGGCCCCGAGGGAGCTCAAAGCCAGGATCCAGAACCCTGAGGAACCCCAAACCCAGGACCCCAGAGCCATCACCCCAAGGGACCCCAGAACCAGGACCCCAAAACCAGACCTGGAGAGGAGCCACAGGCCAGTCCTTTAATGCAGGAGGGGACAGACAAGGCTGGGAACACCCGACTCTTCAGGATGCCCAATTCCATGGATCCCATCCATGTGCTCAGGTCTCCTCCCCAGTGCTGTGGAGGGGCCACTGGTGAGTTAGGGGAGGGGACCCCCACGGTGACAGGGGACCCTGGGGAGGGTGGCACCTACCGCAGGCACTGGCAGAAGCGGATTACGGCCCGCTCCTGCTCCGCAGTCTCGATGGAGCCGGGCCGCAGGCGCCGGATCTCGCGGATGGCATCGCCGCCGGCCAGGTGCTGCTCCTTGCACAGGTAACAGGCCAGCAGGGTGCCCGTCCGGCCGTGGCCCAGCATGCAGTGAACTGCCACAGCCTGGACACAGGGACACGGAGGGTGGGTGGCACTGCCGGAACCCCCCGTGCTCCCCGTGGCACTCCCTGGGTGACCGGCGATGACAGCTTTGGCACTGCCTTCATGGAACCTCCCTGGTGTCCCCTCTCCAAGTGTCAACCCCCAGGGAGCAGCCCCTGAGATGTCACACCCACCAGGTGGCACAAGCCTGCCACAGGTGTCCCCTCCAGGGAGTTGTGTCCCTCCTCCAAGGTATCTCCCTCATTAAGGCGCCATTCCCCCAGGATGTCATCTCCCCCCTCCAAAGCATCCCCAACCACCAAGGTGCCATCCCTCCAAATGTCCCTCCTCAAGGTGTCCCTCCCCACGTATCTCCACCCCCCTGAGATATTGTTCCCTCAAGGTGTCACCCTGCTGAGGTCTCCCCCCACCAAGGTGTCCCCCACCCTCAAGGTGTCCCCCACCCTCAAGGTGTCTCCCCTCTGCCATCTCCCCCCAGGTATCCTCAAGGTGTTCCCCCAGACGTGTTCCCTTCCCTGGTGTCTCTTC